AAAGCACAGCAACGCAGATGCATCGTCACGGACGCCGTCGTGAGGCCGGCGGGGTTCGCCGCGCCTGCGCAGTGGGGAACCGTGACGTCACCGGCGAAGCGCCGTGTGCAAAAGGAAGACGTGGCGCGCTGCTTGTAGGAATGCGCTGCGTGTAGAAGTGCTTTCGCATTCCTACACGTAAGCAGTCTTAGGTGTTTTCGGGTAGATCTTTTTTTTTTTTTTTTTCACTGGTTTGGATGTTGGCAAAACGTCCTTCATCAGCTTGCTGGATCACAACTGTAGGATAAACGGCGCGTTCCTGATGAGATCCTCAAGTCAGAAAGGCTGAGTTTAACAAATAAACCAACACGTTGTTTATTATTTACAACACGTCGTTTCGAATATCAGTCTGTGTTCGTGAGTTTGGATCATTCATGAGCTCTGCTCAGGCGACCACGCATGACGTGAAAATTTATCGTAGTATCCCCACGTTATCGCCTGTAAATTGTTGCAAAATGACGTTGATGCAATTTATCTTTGGTCGAACTGGCTATCTTTAAATCCCGAAAAAAAGTAAGGTTGTTTCTTTCTCTGGCAGGATTATAGATTAGATCTTTCTGGCATTCTAAGGTCTTTTGTTGTACGTGACCTTGGTGCTTTGTCTGATTCATGCCTGAATTTTAGTTTTCATGTCTCGAAAATTATTAATATTTTTTTACGCTTCGTAGGCGTTATTTCACGCATGACCCGTGCCTTCCAGTTACTCGTGCCTAATGCACCTATTTTGCTCGCTAGTGTTAGCGAAGTTGAAATTTTCCTTGTCAAACGTTGTGTAACGACGCTTTGTAAGAGGTGTGTATAATCGCCACATTAGAGGGAATGTTTTTTTTTTTTTTCCTTCGTGATTATGTGCGTTTTATAGACACCGTTCAAATTTTGCCTCTTTCAGGTAGATGGCTTGTTCGCGATGTGGTGTTTCTCTCTATAGCGTGCTCAACACCCCCGCTACTAAGTATAGTCTCATTCCATGTCCCCCATCGACAAAATAAGTCCATGGCTTTTGTTTTTTTGCCAGAAAAACATAATATAAGCCGTTGTAGAACACTTATTTGTCAGAACAATCGATGAAACCCCTCGATAAAATAAAAACTCTCTTTGAGAGGGCAAGGGCGGGATCGCTGACACTGATTTCCTTTTGCCCTAATCTCGAATGCCTCATGAACTTCTCGGCACACTTTTTCTTTATATTTCGCCAGAGCCTTAACATCACGCAGAACTGGTGAGCATGACGACTACAATGGATGGCGAGATTACCAGAAGGGTTCATGACTGCCGCATGATGGCGTGCAAGTTCACTGAAACACGTAGTCCCGTCTGGCCAATGGACACGGAATCGCAAGTTATCTCGTACACCACACTCAGCATATTTGGCCCGAGGTTTTATGCCGCACTGCTCTTTAATTCGCTGGGGACTAGATTGACTCTGCGGTTTCTTTGTAGGGTGCTCTGCGCCCGATAAAAATGGTACGTCGCTGCGGAAAAAGTGTGCCGAGAAGTCCATGAGGCATTTAAGAGCGTTCCACGTGGTGCTGTGATGTCATGTGACGCCATGGTGCTTCGTGACGTCATGTCACCTGACGTAATGACGAGACGTCATCGAGACTACATGCCACGGACACAAAAGCCCCCAAGTTTCGCTTTTGTCGGCCACGAACGAGGTTCTCAAGGGACACCTCGGAGGAGCAACTAATATTTGTCCCAGCCTCACTTCGCTAGTTGGTGCAAAAAAAAAAAAAAAAAACCAGACATTAGAGAGTTTTGGGGAACCGTTTTTGCACGTCCGATACGGTAGGAGGGGCCCTCCGGTAGGAACTGCGCATGCGCTATACCCCAGAAGACTGGCACATGCGCAGTTTGTACCGGAGGGCCCATCGTGCAAAAACGGTTCCCTAAAGCTTTGTTAAACGACCAAGTGAAATACCGTTCAACCGGCGTTGTTTCACTTGAGCCTATCTGGTATACATTTGTCGCTGACGGATCTCTGCTGTATTCCCCCGTAAAGATCAAGGCGGCCCTGTGCATGCATTCGACTACACAGCGGCTTTATCTTGAAAGAATGAGCACGAAAGAGCGAGTGCTCGCCAGCGCTCTCCTGCCCCTTCTAAGGTGGCGTGCGCCGTTCGCTTTGGGGTCCGCTGTCATGCCGCGCCGTCGTCGAGAGACGTCGTGCCCTCGCCCCGGCTCTGCCCAATCGGTTCTCCTCGGCACGGGGTTCTCCTTTCAAGCTTGGAAAGGTATCACCGAACGCATTTTGTGTCGTTCGCTCCATCTCTTTATTAAGTTGTAAACGCCCGCGCATAGACTTCCCCTTCGAATACCCCACTAACCAACTTTGGCGGCCGGCATGTGTTTCCTCATCGCTGCGTGGCGGGTGGTTGGACCCGATGTCATGCAGCCTCCGAAGCAGTGATGGGAAGACTATGGAATTATTTTGGAAGACGTCGCAGAGATGAACGCAGTGCCCCCTGGATTGCTCCTCCCCATTCCAAAATGTGGTGGACTACTGCGCCAGGCTGCTTTCGCTCCCACTCTCTGATCCATTCCACCAAAATGGGGAATTGCCACTGAAGTTGCTCGAAAACCTCGTTGGTTTTTCTCGATACCGAAACTAATAATTCAGTTTCCGCGCAGTGCGGGGTCGTTACGGTGAGCCAATGCAAATATTGAAAACTCGGTTATCGATTCGAGTAGCCTCCTATTATATTGATCTTCGCGACTCTCGACCGTGCTCGGATCTAACATTATTTCTCGTTGTTCGGTTCGACCAACGTTTTTTTGGACTGGTTAGTCGGCTTCGTTGAGTGAGCTTTTCTCCGGGACCATATTCGCCTTCAGCTGACCTGATTGCCAACAGTAGGTACCAACTAGCTCAACTAAAACCCGTAACCCATATTCGCCGCCGACCATAAAGGTTTTTGAGCCGACTGCACCTTTATGATCGTGCGAATTGGCTATAAATGAGCTCTTTGGACGTACAGATCGTTTAATATGGGAGAAAGCAGGGAGCCTCTCTGCAAGTTGCAGCCCACTAGAGTATCTCTCCGGGCAACGCTAGTGGCGCGCCTGCGCACTACAGGCGTCTTCGCTCTGCGCGAAGTCGTAAGGAGAAATATGGTCTATGAAGGCTCCGTAGTACTTACGGGAATTCTGTCGTTGTTCGGGGATTCGAACAACGACAGAATCCCCCCCCTCTCCGCCTGTGGAGAGGACATCAAAGCGGGATGGTGCGCGTCGGGTATTTAAAATGAATGAAACTTGGTAAATGTTGGTAGTTAACTCTACCTTGCAGTTGAACTTCTGGAAAAAGAGCCGTGGCTATTGTACAAGGCTAAATGCTAGGCTTGAATGTCCTTAGAAGTCGGGAGCATCATTGGTTGTGATACTGTTTTACAATTTTAAAATCGTGTTTGTTTGTTTTTTTTTGCTGCATTACGCGCCTAAATTTTCTCTTTCGTTTATTTACCACGTCTGTGCTTGTATTTGGCTGATTAAGTTCAATAAATGGTTTATTTAAATTAGCTTTATCCGCGGACGAATGGTAGCTTGTGAATGGTCTTGAAGAGTTCAGCTGAGCGTTCATTCATTGTCACCTATATGCTACGTTTGCATTGTTATAAAGCTTTCTCTACGTGAAAAGAATTACTGATGTTCATAATCAAATGGGATGTATTTATTTTAGCTGAATATGGTGTTCTAATTGCAACCTTCAGAATTGTAAGACCATACTCACTTTGACCCATGTAACTCTAACAATATTCGATTGAACTAATATTTGTCCTTCATTTCATACCTAAGGTTACCATTTCCACGTGTTATGTCTCATCAATCACCTTCAGAAGAGTCTGTTGCAATTGGGATTATTAAACGAAAGCAATGGCAACTATAGTCACTACATTCTTGTTGCCATGTCGAGCGCTTTTAAACGCAACAGTGATCTCATGTTCCGGAGAATCAAACTGTGTTCGGTATAACGAATGATGAAAGTGTATAAATGCGTTGGCTTTTAGTTGAACAGACCAGCGTGTGAGTTCGTCGTATTTGCAGCTAAATGTTTGTTCACGGGAGTTTGGCTCGCAGGCGCTCCTGCCTAAGTTTTTTCGACTTTTCTGCCGGCCACGCACGCCTCCTCTGTTCTCACTTTGTGTGCAAATAAAGATTAAGATTAAATGTGAATGGAGTCTATGCGCTTGCTCCAAGAGACTTCTGTCCACACCAAAAGGTGCTTCCAAGCGACTCGAACCAATCGCATCACTCATGTCACCATTGATTGGAGTATGCTCCATTATAGTCATGTGCTAATAGTAGAGTTTTGAGTTCGAAGTGGATTCGAAGCGAATGGCGGTTTTGGTCGAATATTTTGGATTCGTATATTGAATAGTTTCTTAAAGTATTTCACTACCGTGCACCATCTTAAAAATCATCTGAATTCCGTGGAGGTTGTTCCTAACCTTCCATTTGCCCAGTTTAGTTATATTGATATAACCACTATTTGAACGGTAACATATAAACGACATATTTGCCACAGCTATCCTAATTCGGGGGATTTATAGATCTGTTTGTTATATGCAGATATTCTTCATTCTATATCAAATTTGACAAAATAAGAACAAAACGGCATGAATGATGAACGCGCGCTGTCAAGACATCGCTGCACGGCATACTCGCATAATCGCGGCGGGTTGGCCCCGTTGAGTGCGCTTCTCACCGAGCACTGGTGCACTGCGGGAAAGCAATATCCGCGGAGCCCGCGAGCTCCGCGGGTATTGCTTCTCCGCAGTGCACCGGTGCTCGGTGAGAAGCACACTTAGTACGACTATCGCAGTTCACCTCAAAACGAATACGGAATACGAATACTATTCAAATATTCGCACAACACTACTCTGTGACGTTTTATACGACCTTCTCTTGAAAGCAATCTTTTTTAATGCCTCAAATTCTCTTTTTTTCTCCCCCTCTCCCAGTGAACTTGACGTCGCAGTTGGCTGTGAACGCTCTGATGGTGCTGTTCCGCGACGCATCCGACGACTCTGAGGCCCGGTCTCCGCAGGGCTTCTTCGTCGACTGGTCGGAATCCCTGAAGCCCGTGGCGTGCGAGCAGGGTCCTCCCAATGCACTCACCAACAAGGACCTGTCGGAAAAGGACCACTTGTGGTTCACCTGGATGCCCCCGGATACGGCCGAGATCAACGTCGTCCTCAGGTGCGCCCCTGGGTTGGGGCATACCCCAGGAACCCTATGCACATATTTGCGAGCAGCCAAGCTTCAGAAGCAGATTTGACAAGTCAGCAATGCTATCCTGAAGAACTTGTTGGGGAACATGTTGGAACCGTGTGCACGTTTGGAAGCAGCCACACTTCAAAAGCTAGTCTGGCGTCGATAATGTTACTCTAAAGAAACCATGTCTTTAGTTACATCTCCCTTTTTTTAAGTTATTCTCAGTCGTTGGGGAAATGCCCTTTATAATGTGATGTTTCAGTTCATGTTACTTCGTCGTCTGGTGGTAAGCCTATGGCCTCAAAATGCGTCATAAGCAGCATATTAAATGCAAATGGCAATGGACTGCATACTGATGGCACCCATTTGGCTTTGATGCAAAAGTATAATTACTAGTAACCCAGTTACTTTCTATTAGTAATACTAGCTATAACCAGTTACCAGGTACATTTGGAAAATGGGGACTGTATTTGTAACTTACTGTAAAATACTGAAAACGCAGCCACATGTCCATGCAAATACCACTATCAACCTTGACAGGTTATGGGTATTGTGCAAAGTGAGCATCATGCCAATTTCTCCAGAAAAGTCATCATTAGTGTTTATTCCAACAAAAGTCTACAAATGAAAAAACGAAAAGTTGAAGTTCTCACATTTTGTTTAATCCAATTTTCACTGAAATCTTCATGGGTGCTTTTCGGGTATTTCCCGTATCAGCTTAATTATGCTTTTCAAGGGTATCTTTTAGAGCTCTGGTTCCTGGTGTGGTTCTAGAATGGTTCTACACATAATGTTCACACCAAAAACAAGACAGGGTGAGACCAGGGGAAGTGTAGGTGTGAGCTTACACGCCTTCCGGTTGCTGAAATTGAACATGGTTCTTTTACGACAGATGTAGAAAAGCCCTTTTTGACAGGACACAGAAAGAGTCATGGGCCTGAATAAAGCAACATGGGAAGTTAGCTACTTGTGTCTCATAGAGTCATACTAGCAAACGCAAAATTTTGTTATATTCCAAAGTAATGATTTACTATAGAGAAGCTGCTTTGGACAATTCTCCCTATATAGCTTAAACTTTGCAAGCCACGTTCCTCCAGTTGTTCCCCTGAGGTTGTGTTGTTGCTTCCACACAGAGGCACCTTTGTGGTAGGGGACGAGTACTGGTACAACGTCAACATTGGAGGCGACTTTGCGGTGGACGAATTTCGTAAGTGCTTCTCTCGTGGATGCTTTGCTGTTGTGCTAAACATCTCGGCTTCATCTGGGCCCGTTTCACCTCGGCTAACAGCAGCGAGCACACTCGCATTACGTACCCAGACTAAGTTTATAACTCTGGGAGCAGAGATAATCCTACGAGGCAAAATTTAACCCGAGATCGTTTTACGCCCTGCATGTTGGTTAAAATAGAAAATGAACGGATCATATGCTCAGTGCCGCATATGAATAACATTCCAGTTTTCGATTAACGACTGCTTGTAGATTGACCGGAGCCCCTCTCTCTTTTGTGGTCATTTGCTCTGGTTTGTGGTAGACATTTCCTATGCCAAAGCGGTATGTTGCAGGGTTTCTTTATGGCTGGTGGACTAACCTTACCTGCTATCGTTTTCTTTGTGATGCTACAGCGGTTTCGATGGAGGGGTGTGGCGACACCAAGAGCTGCGTGACGCTGTCCCGAACCCGTGCTAAGTGTGACAAGGCAAGCCGGTGCGACCTCTCGCTGACGTACGCATTGGGCAGTGACAACCGCTCGATCGATATCACCATGGGTGGTGTCGCACCGGTCACTGGTCACTACGTAGCTCTGGGTTTCACCGATGATCCCATCATGGTACGTCCCCTGTGGCTCCTGTTTTAATGGCAAACCCTGGGCATTTCTCTGAAGCCCGTGCCTTCCGTGCAGTGCAGTAATCCTTTCCAGGCATCTCACTGACATCTGAATTGTTTGCACACTGTGTGCATGTTGGATGGGATATGTTCCTTGTGTCGGTGTTACATGCTGCTTTTCTACTGGTGTGCCTAACTATTCTGCTGCTTGTTCCAACCACTTTTGCAATGCCTTTCAGGAAAAAAGTGGATCTTTTTTTATACTTTTAATTTGATAGCTTTTTATCTATATACAGTAAAACCTCGTTATAACAAAGTTGAAGGAGCGGTCGTAATTATTTCGTTATAACCATTAGTTTGTTATAGCCAATGTCCATTTCTTCCCACTATTAGCAAGCAAGGGGAATTATGATTGCTTTGTTATATCCATTAGTTTGTTATATCCCGTTTTGTTATAACGAGGTTTTACTGTATTCTAAAACCCAATGCAGACATGATCCTTTCAACAGAAGGAACATTAAACTGGTTTCTGAGGTAGTCTTATTTTGTGAACTCAATCTAGTCATCCTAAGCATCCTAGAAAGCCCGAAATTACAGTAGTGTGTGGCCTTCTTCCCTATTTGAAATGTGACCGCACATTGTGCGATGCCCCTTTTACTCATTCTTGAAAAAATGGACATCTCACGATGTGTGATTGTGTTTTTAATAGGAACAAAAGTCACAGGTGATTGTAATTTTTGGTTAGGGTTTGCAGATTAAGTTATCGCCATATAGAAGCAAACCTTTTATTGCGAGAGAGACAATTCCAAATATGAATGTAGTGACTGGAATTGTAAGCTGATTTAATTTTAAAGCTTAATGTTTTTTTACAAATAAGTTTTACTGGTGGTCAAGCCTAAGAAACGTTTTTATCGGCACGGTACTTACTTTGTATGCTGAATTCTGCTCTTAGTGGATAGATGCTTGTGTGTGTGTTGCATTAAACAGAATACGCATGGGTACTAGTTCTCTTGACAGGACTTTCTACAAATTGCTAATTCCCTTATAAGTATATCTGCCAGTGCTCTGCAGACTTAGTGCTTCCACAAGATGGTTTGTTTTTTGCTCCTTTTTTGCTAGGTATTCCCGCACCTACTGGTTGAAAAATGTGGTGAAGTTTTGACTCCTCGATCATGGCCCAGCCTCGGGAAGACATTTCAGCCACTTCAGCGACCAATTTAGCTTTGTGTAGTTGACAATAGATCAATATTTTGAGTAACTCAGTGGCAGCCTTAAGTTTGAGGAGTGCTGTACCTCTTAGATGCATGGTATTGTCTAAATTTAATAAAGAGGTCTGCCTCACAAGCTGGGAACAATGTTTTTTGATTGCAGCTGAAAAATACACACATCTTTGCGTGCACAAGGACACACGATCTTGCCACTGTCCAGTACTTCTCCTTGCAAGATCTTGACAGCACTCCCGTGGAAACGGACCAGGTTTGTCTTGGCTGGGGACGGCTTTTATGTATCGTTAAGGGGGTTCTGCTTATTTTTAATGGTACTGTGCTACCCACCAAAAGTTCTCAATGGATACAAAGTCTGTAAGAACAGAATCAATAAAAACGGGAAAAACTTCCTTCATGTTGGTTCGGATACCATAAATAAATGACTGCAGCACTTGCCTTACCTCGCTTGTTGGTGGATACGGGAACAATCACCAACTTCATGTTGTTGAAAAATGATGAATCACCATTTAATGTTTGTAGGATTACCCCTAGCTTCTCATACCAACCACGGGTATGAGTCCTATTCTGGATAGGAAGATTTTCATCCACAGCACGACAGATGATGCATTTTGTTCTGCCCGAACATTCTCTTTGATTTGGCACTACTGCGCATTACCCCCAGGCCACGGTATTGCCCTAAATACTTATTTCATGCTGTCATCTGTCTTTCAGCGTTTTCATGTATAGGTTTTATTTGAGAAATTTGGTTTCAAACTAGTGAGCTCTCTTGTGGTGCTGTGACCCCTCTGCTCTTCCAGGTTTTCGGAGCCCCGTCTTTTGAGCAGGACGGAGAGCGCATCTGGTGCCGGTTTTTAACGCCAGCTTTCGTCCCCGGTCATGACCTCACCTTGCCACGATATCAGGTCTATCTCTGGGGAGAAGCCAACGTCACCAGTGAGTCAGAGTGCCTGTGATTACAGCCCTCTAGTGTCAATGGCATTGTGATGTCGCAAACGACGGGTGAGTGATGAACCGTGAAAGCGAGCGGTGCGCACACCTAGCGAAGCTGGGGTCGAGGAATTGCCCAGCCCCGGACATGCTTCGTCCATCGGATGAATTGATGTCAACAAACACGCCATCGTCTGTGGTTCGCTTTCGGACAGTGATATATTGAAAGTGGTTAAGCCTAAGAGTGGTCGTATCGCTCTCCGTGCTGAGTGCGCTTCGTAGAGCGCTTTTTCTTCGGCAAAAGGCATGCCAATAGTGCCCTAGAAAAGGATCACAATTTATAGAGCGTGGTTATTGTGGTGCCCCCACAACCAGCCATGGGTGCGCCTCTGTCAGTAAAGACATGCCACAGTACTCTGCCATGTCACATTGGCACCTAAAGTGACATTCACGCAATGTGTGTAAATGCAAAAGGTTTTCCCCATGTAATGAATCCACCCCCAAGTATGTGTCAATTTCTGGGGAAAAAAAGTGTGTTCATTATGCGAGTAAATACGGTATATATATATATATATATATATCTTTGTTTTGATATATTATGCATGGAAAGGAACAAGACTGAAAGTTGTTTGCTGACGACTGCGTCATTTTTCGAGTCATTTTACTAGTTCCGATTCCTATGTGCTTTAGTCTGACCTTAACAAAATATCTAATTGGTGTGATATCTGGAAAATGCATCTGAATACTAACAAGTGTAAAGTAATGAGAATTACGCGTCAGACCGTTTGTGGCAACATTTACGATTATCAACTTTCAGGCAGTGCACTTGAACAAGTAACGTCATACAAATACCTAGGGGTTCACATAACAGCTAATCTGTCTTGGTAAATGCATGTTACAGATATAGTAAATAACGCTAACCGCATGCTTGAATATTTGCGTCGGAACTTTTCTATGGCACCATCATCTTTAAAGCTTCTCCTCTACAAAACTCTCGTCCGCTCTAAACTGGAGTACACATCTTCGGTGTGGGACCCAGGCCTGGAATTTCTTTGTCTTGTCAAACTACTCCTGTCCATCTGGTGTATCCTCTATGAAGGCAACTTTGAACCTTCCGAACCTCTCTCTACGCAGAAAAATATCGCGACTCACGCTAGTTCATAAAATATATCATTATAACCCGCACCTCAAAACCAAACTTTTTTCAGAGCCATCATCATCTCACATCGTTCGGACCGCCATAACAAAGTAGGCGTGCCACATTGTCGCACTAACTTGTTTTTCGATTCATTTACCCCAAGGACTAGTAACGAATGGAACCACCTGCCCGCCTCCATCGCAACGACTGCCGACGATTTCACTTTCAGATCCGCCATTGAATGTTATGTACAGAATCCGATCGAGAAAGGTAAACCCTACTTTTCGGCCCGCGTAAAAAAACTATGCATCGCAGAACGCTCAAACTCTGCCAGAATGTAACCCTAGCGGTTCAAACAAAATGCCAAAGTTTCAGCCCGATCTGATAACTTAATCAAAAGTTATAAGTGATTTCCTGAAAATTTCAATGGGAAAATGGAGCCTATTTTTGCCCGTTTTCGGTTTCTGGTGCCATAGAGCCCCATGTGTTTGAAAACTCCGTCGGCCGCCATTTTCCCATTGAAATTTGCAGAAAATCACTTATAACTTTTGATTAAGTTATCAGATCGGGCTGAAACTTTGGCATCTTGTTTGAAACGCTAGGGTTACATTCTGGCAGAGTTTGAGCGTTCTGCGATGCGTAGCTTTCTTACGCAAGCCGAAAAGTAGGGTTTACTTTTCTCGATCGGACCCTATACTTTCTCAGTAACCTGCGTTGTCTGCATTTTTCATTCTCTGTTCAATTTCTGAATTTTGCTACCTGTTGTTTGTTTTTATGTTTTCCTCCACTCCCTTCTGTAACGCCCCCTGGGCCTTGATGGTACTGAAATAAATAAATCGATTAAAGGGTGGCAATCAATCGTGGTAAAATTTTTAATTAACACAGCTCTGCTTAAAACACATAGTATACAATGCGCAAGGCCCATGAAAGCAAATTTGAAAAATAATATATATCAGTGCCCTTAACGAGCAAGTAAAGATATCCCAGTGTACAGAGAAGGCGCGTTCTGAAAGCGCACTTTGGGAACGGCTGTTGTCTATCGACCTCTCGGGCTATAAAGATGGCACCCACCTGGCGACCTTGCTCCTTCTGTGGTGGCACGACTGCACTGCCACGTGTTGCTTTATCGTCGGCTGAGCAGTTACTCGTTTTCCACTAATTTCTTGTAGTGCTGACTGTACAGATCAAGCGATTTTTAAAAGCTTTGTTTTGGAATCTTCACTCTGCTGTGACTCGTACAAGTGAGGTCTTGTGTAACGAAAGACCTCACTTCAGCGAATCTCAAACAAGGTGTGACGTGCTGGTGTTGTGGCCTTTCTTTGCAGGCCAGTCGATCAAGATAGCCCCTCCCTACATGGTGTCCAAGACACCCATCAAGGTGGGTGTTCCCATCTACAGCCGCCTGACTAGGAACGCTGCCACAACGAGGACCGCTTCGTGGATCATGGCGCTTGCCACGGCGCTCTTGGCAAGGATCCTCGTCGCGTGACAACATTCCCAGACAGCGTAGCAGGAGTCCGCCCAGCCACGGAAGGAACATTGGGGAGTGGCCGCCGGCAGACTGCAGGAAGCAGGCCTGGCTGGCAGCTCTCGCAAGCTTGTCGGAGCACCGCTTCAAAGCAAAGAGTTGAGGCATTGCTGCAGTCTACATTCGGAGATGTCAGCTTGTGTTTTCGATTGCATATTGAGATTTAAACAACAATCCCCAAGGGCCGGTGAGAACACAATTTTCGTTATATCTGACTTGTTTCCTTTGTTGTTTTTTTTACTTTGTTACAAGGTATTGTTTCGTTGCCAGTGAAGGAGATTTTCTCTTTTTCTACCAAAGATGGTACACCTTCCCTTTGTATTACCGATTTCGAATTTTGTCGTGTGTAGCGCACTGTTTGGCAGATCCGCAGAGAATTTGTCTACACATTGTATTTGCATTGACAAGAAAAAAGCAGTGTTGACCAAATTTTTTATTTAAATTTAAAAAAAAAAATGTTTTTTGCATTTTAGTTTTTTTTTTTTTTTATCTGAAAGTTTTAGTTTATGAGAACAGAATTTGCTTATTGAAGCGCCAGATGTGGCAGACAGCCAGGGCCAATTCTTCCGGATAAGCTGCAAAGTGTACAGAAGTGTAAGCCACAATCTGGTCATGCATGTATCTTTTAATGGTTCAGGGCGCCTATGCAGGTCTCTGCTTTAGGAGACATACTAAACCTTCCCATATTTTTGAACAAAACCTCAGGGATTGCAAACTACCCATAGTTGACGGCACTGCTCGTCTGAGCCCCTTTTTTTTTGTTATATATGCTGTTAGAAGTCTACCTAATTGTTTTGCCCGCTGAAGCCCTTGCAAAGTTTGCGAACAAGGAAAACGTGAAACGACGACGCTAGCGTAAAATACCGCGGAAGCACCTGCTTCGTTTAAGCGCTTACTATTAACATTGCCCAAACTAGGGAATTCTGAAAATTATACATTAAGCACCCGATTTGATTGGACAAGCACCCATAACTAGATTAGCCCAGTGTTAGGTGAAAGTAGGGTGGCTCTCCCCCGGCATTTTACGGTACATAATTGTGTTTTTAGACTCCTTTGTGCTTGAAAACAACAATAAAATGAAGCGCCAAAATTTAGAGATAAGGGAGGCACTTTTCGAGCGAGGCTAGACCTTGAAAACGGCAGTTGGCAGTGACATAGAAAGATGCATGCTGCCGCACTGTCGAACCACCTAAACATCGTTATTAGCCAGTCGGGCTTTTAGATGGGAACCTCAACTGCTTTGGAATGTAACCACCAGGTTCTCATTGCACCCTTTCTTGCTCCTCGGCTTTCTCTATTATATATGAATACTTTGAGTGGATGGTTGAAGCACTCTGCCCTTTTTGAGGAATATGGATGCATATTTGTTGTCTCGTAAACCTAGATGTACCTATTGTCTTCGGTGTTGCTGAGCTGAAAGACCTCCATTGTTTCCTGTCTTTATTGGCACTCCTTTCCAAGACACACGTGACTTCCAAGGTTCTCTTGGGAAGTTTCGTCTTCTTAGTTTTTTTTCTGGGCCACGAAAGGGAGCTTGGGATTGTGAAACATATTCTTTCAACAAATTGGCAATAATTTGGTAAATTGAGATATATATATATAGCCATATGAATATCATTGTCCCACCAATCAAAACATTCTTCTTTTATTTTTCTGTGTGTGTCTGATTGTGGTACGGTCATACATTATTTCTGAAAGCAACATATGCTTAAGAAACATTTTTAGATCTGTACGATGCCATTGCTGATAAATTAATATTGTTTGACGGATGGAAAATTTTGCTAAATAGATATCTTGCGATTGAGGCGTGACTGTACGAGACTATATTTGTGTTTTTGTAAGTTTAAAGCTGTAGGTTGTTTTGTTTTTTTTCTTTATTTGTTTTGCGGGGTTGACGCGTAGGGGGCAGAGATAAAGGTGTGGTGCCTGACAAAGCCTCTGCCCCCTAAAGTCCAGCAGCTCAAATTAGATACATAATAACAGATTCTACAAAACTTTATACAGTTAAAATAAAAGAAGAGAAACAAGTCAAAGAAACAAGAAGAATAGACACTATATTCATATGCTAAAAAAAACCTATAACCGAGTGTTGGTCGTAAGAAACCAAAACAGTAACAACAAACAGTAACAGCAAAAAAACTAGAATGCAGATTGAGTGCAGTGTGGGCAAATGAACAAGAATTTTTGTATGTATGCGAACCTGGGAATAGTTTGTTTGGACATGTCCGAGTATCGTTTATTTAAAGAATGAGCACATATCTTCGTAGGAATAGCAGGATACAGATATGAAGCACATATCACTGCCTTTTCCTAGATGCTCATGTCAAAATAATGTGTAAGTATGCTTTTTAACCTGATAAATATGTCGATAAGTCTCAGAAAGTTATAATTACAAACCAACCCAAGAATAACAGCCACACATGGCAATAGACTTGCAAGTGATAGCAGCTTTCTTTTTATATCTCAACCTTCCCAGGTTTCAAGTCAAACACCGCACTGCAAAAGCGTTTTCGTGCGCAAGTTTTGCAGAGGCAAACCACAGCTTGGCCCTGCAGTCATCTTCAGTCTATTCCTAAATTTCAACCCCTCCTACTCCATCCACCCCCTACTCTACCTAACCACTACCCACCCCACGTCCCCTCCCCCAAGAGTCAGTGACAAATTCGCCCAGAGTGCAGAATACACCATTAACTCTTACCCCCCCCCCCCCCCTCCCCACCTCCCAATAATTTTCTTCAACGCTAACAACACAACCTAAATTTCAGCAGAAACTATTCTTTAGAGTTGGCGTGCCATGCAAACAGAGTTGCAAAATCCACTCAAATACAAATGCCCTCCCTGACCAGCACCGCCTAGAGTTAAACGACACTGCTTGTTTATCGCTGCAACCACGTTGACACAGCGATTAGACTTGACCCCGGAGACCAATGCCCGCCAACGCAGTCATTGGTTCCGAGTCCCAGCTGAACGCCGACGCAGTTCTTGTGTCCAATTTATGCCCACACTCGGCGATAGTGCAGCGGCGCCGATATGCGGGTACACATGCTTCATTTACTCTAGGTATTGGTGGAAAATACCGTAAACCAGAGGAAATACTGGATGCACTGCACTGGCACAAGGGCTCTGGAACTGACAGCTTTCTGCTCCGGATGGCACCCGGAGAGACTCTGAGATTTTGGAGCCTTTGTGTTTGGGGAAAGTACAGAGTATTCTTGGTCCATGGCATCATATTTATGGTCTTTGGGGTTGACTTTGTACAGGAGGGGAAGGAGAAAGTGCTTGGCTTGTTGTTGTTTGTCTGCCCCATATGCATCACTTTGGTGGAGTTTTTATTTTCCACTTGCGGGACGAAGGATGCCGCCAGTTTCCCGCCGTGTCATCCGAGTGTGTTGGCGGGCTTTCCCCGAGTAATGTGAACCTTTCCAACGAAAAAGACAATGTGTGAATCTGTGTAGTAGGGACCCTTTAAAGTGGCAGATCTGTGCCAACCTTCAGAAAGGAACAGAAGGTTGGAAACCCTGTCACTTGGAAAGATAAAAATGAAATAGCATGCAGGACTGAATTGCACACAGAACGGTGCTTCATTTCACTTCTTAATTAACCTGAATTTCAAACTTTGAATTTTGTCTATGCTTTTTTCATCCTCTGCCAGTGAATCTTTTATTGTGGTGGCTGCACCGACATGTCAACTCTATGCCATTTAGATAACGATGTTAAGTGGCTTTCTTTGTGTGTGCTTTTTATTTCAGTGCCTCGTCCATAACCTTGTTGCATATTAAGATGAGTTTTCTGCATTAGTTGATACAATGGGTCATTTCAGCATTTCAGCCTCTCTTAGAAAGGTAAAACAAGACGCTGGCTTAAAAACTGTGAAGGGGCAGTGTTAACTAAGGAAAAAACAAACCTACGGGTGTTGCCCTTGCACTGCAAGCACTGGCACTACAGTCGGTGACAGGTGAAGTGTTCAGGGAAAACTCCTCCCACTAAGGACCCCTTATCTCCCACGTTTCTGCACTTTATGAAAGCAGGCGCTGGAGACAAGGTCGCTTCCTCTCCATCGTTTGCTCTGCTGAAGTCCAGAAAGGGTGGGAGGAGTTTGCCCCGAACTCCTCGCCTGTCACTGACCCTAGATCCTCCGCACAGATTTAGTAATGGTAGCTTGCGAGGCACAGCACTCGACACTGCTGCATGAGGTAATGCCTGATATTTACTGATGCAGCAGTGTCTGTTAGTATATATATGAGTAACTACCAAACAATACCTCATAATCAAACGTGCGGAAAAAGTTTTTTTCAATACTTGTTTTAGGCTTTAAAATCATTGGCCTATTACCTCGAAGCATTCTGCCGTGAAACGAACCCTTTAATATATTATGTGCGATTTATTTTACAAGAATCTCTACCTCTAGTCTATCTTCTTTCAGTGAGGAAATTCGGGGCATAATACTTCTAGCCAAATCTAAACGGGGATTATTGTAGCATAGGTATGTCTCTTTTTTAAACTGATTTTTTTTTAAAGGCTTTGATAGCTTTTAAGACGTACCAAGCAGTCATGTTGTTAAGTTTCGAAGCCAAGCTATATTCCTGAGCTAGTCTACGAACCGTGCGTAATGTTTTTGCATTCGCTAAAGCTGTAGAGTCTGTTCCATTCCTGGATACAGAGCTCCCGCTTTTCAGTCATATATTTTTAGAGTTCTGCGTCACATTTGTTTATACCCATTCTTGGCAGCTGCATTCGTTTTTGCTCGTGTATTTCAGATGTCATTTATAGTTGTAGGAAAACGGAACGGAACTCGGAAATGGCTTTGCTGTAGTACTTCCAATTAACAAATCTAGACATGCCAGAAGTTGATAACATAGGCTATGGTACGCTGCCACCCTGCTGCTGCTGCTGGAAGCAACTAATAAAGCTTTCTGTGTCTGCTACTAAAACACTGCTTAGAGGCCACTTGCACAATCATCGAAGTACATTCGTCGAGCGTTTTACATTGAAGTGCCGAGCAGAAGGCCCAGTTTCCAGCATAACTTACCTGCTGGTATCCAGTAGACATTTATGCTGCTAGTGCAGGACAAACTCCTCCCACTTTAGCAGAGCGCACGCTGGAGAAGAGGCTGAGAGTGGATTTATCGGTGATTACCTGCACTGCGAAAATCAACGAAGCAACACCAGAAACTAAGTCCGTGTCCTTACCTTGTGCGGCGCTGTGTGTGTGTGTGTGTTTTTTTTTCTCAGTTTTATATAAAAAAAAAAAACGTTTTTCTTTATTTTTAGTATTATTCATGTTAACTTTTTTTTACGCGTTTTTTTTACATTGAGTTACCAAATGTTTGCGTACCGGTGATAGAGCTGCGCATTTCGATGAACGTGGAGAACAAAGCCCATTACTGATCAATGATGCGCAGAGCGTCGAATCAAGGGACAGCCAATCGTGAGCTGCGCCGGCTCTTAGCGTGCATCGAGCAACGAAGGGAGTGGTATTCTGGGCTGAATGCTGCATTCAACTGCGTTCGTATGGCCCTGCTGTGATTGTCCTGCTTTGAGACAGACTGTGACTCCGTCTAAAAAAGGGCCGAACAACCCAACCGATCTTTCGGGCATTTTATTATAATTATTATTATTATTCTGAGACCCCGAGATTGTGTCTGAGATCTTTGTGCGCGTGTCCCACTTTTCCTGTTCCCCGATCTCGGGTTTTCCTATTATAAAAATTCACCAGCTCGTTTTTTGTTCTTATTTTTGTGCTTTTGATGTTGTGTAAATTGCTTTCTGTTTGTTCGTTCAGGAAAGCGCCATATCAGCTGTGCTGTTGTGTCCTGGTGACCTTACCAATAAAAACCTGAAGCAACCCAAAGCCTTGCATTGCCGACTCCAGTCTTCAGCAAACCAAGAATCTCGTAAATCTAAAAAAAAGAAAGGCTTGTTCTAGCTTTTTTTTTTTTTTTTAATACACTTCTTTTTTAAGTGTTTTCTTTGTTGGAAGCTGTGGGATCCCTGCACAATGGCGGACAAAAAAGAGACCGCCAATGTTGGAACCCAAACTACCAATCCCACTTAATTTCCTACTTGTGCAGTTTTCGAATCTCCCATTCTGAGGGTGTCGCAATTGCTCTGCCATTGTGCAGTGCTTCAGACATTTGAACAAGAGCACGTGACTTTCGAAAGCGGCACTTCATTCGCGGACGGATCAGAGGTAAACAGTTAGGAATTTTTTTTTTTTTTTCCGGGGGTGCTTAATGTACATCTTTTCGGGAAAGGGGGGGGGGGGGGGGGGGGCGGCTCCTGGCTACACCTCCATGGTGGCTACGTGAAGCGGACGTCGGCGCAAGTTATCGTAGTAACGTGGAGTTCCTGGTTCTTCCATCATTTTTGTTCTCTTGTCTTTACCTACTGGGATCATAGACGCTTTAAACACGCGCCAGATTGAGCCGCCATTGCCGCCATTCTCTCGCCTCACCGAGATGGCGAGCCACTGAAGCGGGCGCTGGCGAGCCTCCGCAAGGGCCTATGCTGGGGAGGACACAGTAGCACCTAAAGGGGCAATAGCCTGTCCTGCTGTGGCAGGGACGTAGCCAGGGGGGGCCGAAATCCAGCCATATAAATGCATTTGACCCCCCTTGCCCCTCTCCCAGGGGCGGATCCAAGGGGGGGGGGGGGGGGGGGGCGATGGGGGCGGCCGCCCCCCCCCCCCCTTCCCCCCTTCTCGGAGGGCAATTTGACATGCATGGGTGGACCCGCCGGTGCACAAGAAAGAATGGCAGAATAGTATCCCTACAAATTTTCCGCCCCCCCCCCCAAAAAAAAAGAGTTTTGGATCCGCCCCGCCCTCTCCGTACCCCAAGTAATGGACATCCCCCCCTTCCCGAAAACAATTCCTGGCAATAACGCGTTATAGGTTGTCTTCACTGACGTAATTTTGTCCCCCATTTTGTTGTGAGAAGACGAACATTCCAAGGATTTACAGGACCCCTTAAATGCATAGAGCACTGAGCTTATAAGTCTTACCACGCTGACATCTCCTCAACAGGTTGCAATGTAGTCCTTCACATTAGTAAATTTGTTTGAAAAAAACAAACAACAAAATGGCGGATTGACGTCATGTGACAACACACTATTGCCACGCGTTATTGCCTAAGATTGCACTAACGCATGTCCTGCTGTACTAATGGTGAAGTGAAGCGAGCGGAATCAGAGAAAAGAAAAACTGAAGGTCGGTTATGGCAGCGCGGCGGCGCCCATGCACAGCTGCCTGAAAGCGTCTATGCGGGCTGCTTGAGGTCCATTTTCTGTGGCAATGAAGTGGGTGGAAGCCAGTGCGATCACACACCTCGAGTGCCGATTAAAAGCAGGGCACGCGCACTGTTTACTTCTCAAATGTCACTTCGTGACATTTGAGATGACGAGCGGGCTCGGTGCCCCGGATAACAGGCCACACGGGTGCCGGTAGACCGTGCCATGAATCAAAGGATAAAATAAACGGATTAAGATCACTCTTCAGTCTCTTATTAATCGTCAGTGAGAACAACGCGAACTTCAGAAGGTACCAAAAAATGTAAAGAACTCAAGCGAAAAAAAAAAATAAAGATCAAGAAAGGAGTTTCACCGGCTGCCAGATAATCAGGTGAGCTGTCGATCTACACGAGAGCTGCGACTCCTATCGAAAGTCTGAACCCTCAAATGACAGTCGCGGAGAGCAGAAGCAGCTCCTTCGGAGCACGCGCTCATTGCTTTCCGTCGTGCTTTGCTTGCGCGGACTTACGAGAAGTGCTGTGGACTGGAAGGTAGAAAACTCGCGCTGGAGGCGGAGCTTCTGCTGTTCCCAAAGCTCCTTGATATACTCGCGCTTCATGACTATTACAAGTAGCGGCAACCGTTGTGCGAACGCCCAGGTGCTATCGAGCGCTATCTGCGCCGCCATTTTCTTCCACGCACCAGTTTCGTGCTGCGTGCATTAAAGAATGTGTGTCGCTACTCGTAAAACGAACGCAAACAGATCAATGCGCTCCGTTTCACTTTAAGTTCGAGCGAGGCCGAAGCAAGCGCGAGCATACGGCCCTGAGGAGTGCACTGCACGAGCGCGCGTGCTTGGCATGGGCGCTGAAAGCCCGAAGCTCGCTCTTGTAGCCTCTGCTACGCTCACATCTAAAGTTAGACGAAGTATAAACCATTCCAACGTTTACAAATGCTAAGCCCAGCGTCCTAACTCCACGGGCCAGCACGTGCGAGCTTTGGTTGCGCGTGCTGACACCGAAGTGTTTTCAAAGGCAGAAAGGTCGTGCTGTCGCGTCTGCTTCGACCCAACATTGGCACTTACTTCGAAAGAAAATATAAAAAGGGGTGAGAGATGGCGCCAGTGGCGGGCGTAAATATTCGTTAGGCTTGGCTGTGGCTCGGTGGATCTTCAGCCAAAATAGCCAAAAGAGCGTGCGCGTCGTTCTACCTTTCCTTCGACTGATCGGCGTTCGTTTTGCTGAGCCCTACGAGCGTCAAAATGGACGAGAGCGGCGTCCTCGACCTCCAGCCTGCTCGCGGCATCATCCGGGACGTCTGGGCGTCCAACCTGGAGCAAGAGTTCCGCTCCATTATCCAGCTGGTCCAGCGCTACAACCACGTGGCCATGGACGCCGAGTTCCCGGGCGTCGTGGCGCGACCGATCGGTGAGTTCCGAGACGATGCCGACTACCGTTACCAGACGCTGCGCTGCAACGTGGAGCTGCTCAAGATGATCCAGCTAGGTCTGACCTTCTTCGACGAGGCCGGCGGCACCCCTCCGCGACTCTGCAGCTGGCAGTTCAACTTCAAGTTCAGCCTCGCTGAGGACATGTACGCCGAGGACTTCGTCAAACTGCTCACCGGCGCCGGCACGCAGCTGGACCGACTCGAGCGGGAAGGCATCGAGCCCCATGAATTCGCCCAGCTGCTCATCGCCTCGGGAGTCGTGCTCACGGAGGACGTGCGCTGGCTGACGTTCCACAGCGGCTACGACTTCGGCTACTTGCTCAGGCTGCTCACCAACCAGGACCTGCCGTCCGAGGAATCGGAGTTCTTCGAGCTGCTCCGCGTCTACTTCCCCGTCATCTACGACGTTAAGTACCTGACGAGGCAGTGCGAGAACGAGCAGCTGCGACTGATGACCCGTGAGCTGGAGCTCCAGAGAATCGGGCCGCAGCACCAGGCCGGGTGGCAGAGTCTTCTGACCGGGGCGGCCTTCTTCAAAGTGCGCGACTCGTTCTTCAAGAACAGCATCGACAGCGCGTCGTACGAGGGACGCCTGTACGGCCTCAGAGGCTCGTGCCACGACGGAGAGAGTCCGGGCAGTGATGCCGGCGCCGACTGGGCAGTCGTCGTTTCGGATAGCGGGGACGGTGCCACCGGCACGACGCTGGACAGCAGCGTTGACACTACGAAAAAACATAGCTGCGTATAAAGCTACCATAACACCGCCAAACATTGGACCAAAGTAATGAAAGCTAGATAAATTATCGGCCCTCTCGCCATTCTCCAGATTCTTTGGCGTCCCGATGGTTGGCGTCCTCTGTGTGTGCGCCAAGTTCAGGACTTCAGGTCATGCGCGTTTATTTTTAGCAGCAACGCAAGACTGCACTATTTTTTTTTTCAATTTCTCCTATTTATATCGATTAGCACAAATGTATCTCCTATTCTCATTAAATTTCTCTACGCCTCTCACGTTTCCATTGAGCTTTCCTGAAAAAGTTATTGTCTACTAACAGATCCAGAAATGGGCCGAAACTAGAGTGCCACAATGTTGTTCTTACGATGGCGACTCTATAGCAGGGGTGGATGCAGGAATTTCCTGAGGCGGTGGGGGGGGGGGGGGGGGGGGGGGGGGGGTCAGGTGTTGGTCAGCGTACCATATGTATAGGAACCCCCTCTCCCTCGTTTAACGTGCTAAATTTTACACATGCAGAAATCAAGAGGGGGGGGGGGGGGGTCAGGACATCCGGACCCCCCCCCCCCCCCCCCTCTAGATCCGCCCTTGCTCTGTAGTACCCGATACCGACAGCACGTGACCACAACATTAGAAGCGAAAAGCAGCTTGAACCAAAAGGCGTGCTCTTTCACGTGTTCATCAGTGCAAGGACAAGAAATAAACATCGCCACACGAGCACGCCTTCCCTGTACAAAAGATGCGAAGTAAATAACCCAAATAAAGTGTTGACGAACGCTTGTGCAAGATGCCATTTGTTTTAGGTATTTGCTTTAGAAAGGTTACTACTGCAGACGCCAGCACGTGCGGCGCGTGGAACACCAATCCCTGCATTTTCCTTGATGCTTAGGCACCGTGTGCTTGGGTAATATAGCAATAGGTCTATTCGCCTTGTGGCTTCTGCAAATGGGGGATCTGCGGCCGAGTGGGCTCGCACACCAGCTCGGAGCACGTAAAGCGAAAGGCTCGCGCTTCGGAACCCAGGGCTCCTGGGTTCTATCCACACTTCCACCGTGGTTCTATCCCCGCCCATGCCTGTCGTACCGGCGTGCGGTCGTGTATCACTACTGCGTGGTGCACGTTAAAAAAAAAACCTACGCTAACTGTTGTACCGCACTGGCAAAATTGCTCATGTACCCCTTACAAAAATGATCAATGAGTTTCAATTGACTTTCTATTGTGTTCCTATAGAGTCAATTGAAACTCGATATAAACTCAATGTCTAATGAGTTTGACCATTAGAAACTCAATTTTGATTCTATTGAATTTACTCATTAGGAATGCAATTGAGACTGATCATAAGAAACTCAATATCGATTCTATTGACTTTACTCACTAGGAATGCACCTGAGTTCGATCATTAGAAACTCAATATCAATTCTATTGAATTTACTCAATAGGAATGCGATTGAGTTTGGTCATAAGAAACTCAATTTCGATTCTATTGAATTAACTCAATAGGAATGCAATTGAGACTGATCATAAGAAACTCAATATCGATTCTATTGACTTTACTCACCAGGAATGCAATTGAGTTTGATCATTAGAAACTCAATATCAAATCCATTGAATTTACTCAATAGGAATGCGATTGAGTTTGGTCATAAGAAACTCAATTTAGATTCTATTGAATTTACTCATTAGGAATGCAATTGAGACTGCTTATAAAAACTCAATATCGATTCTATTGAATTTACTCACTAGGAATGCAATTGAGTTTGATCATTAGAAACTCCATATAAATTCTATTGAATTTACTCATTAGGAATGAAATTGAGTTTGGTCATAAGAAAGTCAATATCGATTCTATTGAATTTACTCATTAGGAATGCAATTGAGTTTGGTCGTTTGTGGATTTCTGCACCCGTGTGCACCGAACGATTATTGCTTGAACCAATGTTTTTCTATTAAGAGATAGAGTCCAATGACGTCGAGACACTGTTTATCATCTATGAGACTTTCAAGGAGGAAATAGGAAACTGGGAACCTTAGTAGATGCTGAGGTGGTCACCGGCCAAATGAATACCTTTCTTTTGTAGGGTATATAAGGCGGTGGGGTAGTCAAGGGAGTACGATTAGTAGGTTGTGAGTGCTTAGTTACGGTGTTTGTGTTCGTTTCCTCTATGTGCTTTGTTTCCTTCATGTTGCATGCTTTAAAGAATTGTGGAAAAAAATTGTGAAAAAACCGAAGCAATTTTTTTCAAATGCAGTTGCAATAAATTCTATTGAAGCACGTTGCAATAATTCAATTGAAAGTCAATTGCAATATTTTTATTAAAACTCAATAGCAAAAGTTCTTTTGAAACACTATTGCCAAAATTCAATTGAAATGCAATTGCTAAAAATTCAATTAAGACTCAGTGGCCAATAGTCTGGGACGGATCAATAGCGACTCAATAGAAAAAGTCAATTAAGTTTCAATTGAGACTGAATGAGGTCTATTGAGTGAGTCCTTTACACTTTCAATTGAAAGTCAGTTCATTTTTTTGTAAGGGACAGCTGAGACACAACAGGCCCACTGCGGCGGACTAACTTCCGGCTGCATAAACATACACATAACAATTCGCTTTGGCTTCTGCAACGCTCGCACTAACTCCGTCTCACCATATAGAGGAAAATATATGGACTCACAAACATCAGCAGTGCAAACAAAGGCATGGGCACGAACGAGCGCGCGGCTTTCAAAGGCGCCTCCTATGCGCGAGTTCTCGTACAGACAAAAGCACTCTGCTGACCTAGGCTCACGCGCTTGTGCCTTTGACTTTACTGTAGATATTTCTGAGATACTGATATTTTCCAACGGCTCACACGCTGCTGAATGTATGCTCAAAAACCTCTAGGACGACCTCTTTTGTCGCTTGAAAAACAAGCGCCGTCCGTCGGCGTTGTGACCGAAATATGGCCATAAAAATACGTCATAAAGCGTTATCAGCGTGGTGTCACCGCTGGACATCACGCCTGTGCGTCGGACTTCATCTGTGCTTGTTGTGTGCTTCGTGCGATGGACTGTGAGGCGACCGCGTCTACATCTACGGTCTCGACATCGGCAGCGGCGTCTACATCTACGGCGGCCTTCGCAGGCATCGTTCTCGACGTCGTCCTAGAAATCGGTTTAGAAGTCGTCCTAGACGTTGCTTCTTGATGTCGTCCTAGAGGTCGTCCTGTGCATCGCCTTTGAGGTCGTCCTAGAAGTCCTCGACGCCGTCCTTAACGTCGTCCAGGTCGCTCTAGACTCCGTACTTTGTGTCCATCTCTAGGAAGTCGTCCTCAACGTCGTTTTATACGTCGCCCTAAACTTTAATACGTTTAGAAACATTACTCGAAAACATTTCTCCCGTGGGACTATAATGCCTTTCGCATTTCTACACGTAAGCAATTTCGGTAACGTTCCGCCAACCTGATCCACCCGAGGGATACGAGATAATGGAGAAGGGAAACGGGAGTGGGAAAAGAGTGCTGAAGGTGCAAAGGGATCGCAGAAAAGCCGACTGTAGCAGGCGATGGAAGAAACGCCGCCGGCGTGCTGCAGAGGCAGGCAATCTTTTATGCGGGACGTTCCCATAATTCATTGCGCGGCGTTTATGGATATTTTCGAAAGTTCTATTGCACATGCGTGCACGTGCTGCTCTTTTATTTATAATAGTACTGGCTGCTAAAGGTGCAACTCAAGAGGGTAGGACGAGGGAAAGGGAGGCCGGGGAGGAGGAAGCAGACGGAACGCTAAAGAGGGGAGGAGGTTTCCCCCTCTCCAGCGTTCCGTCTGCTTCTTCCTCCCCGACCCGTCTTACCCGTGTCTTACCTTCTTGGGCTGTAACCTACAAAACATTCTGCAAGTTTCATTGTGCTGACCGGACCAGGGAGCACAGAAAGTGTCGAGCGCAAACTGCGACCGCGGAACCACGCCGAAGAAATTGACGTAATGTGGTGTGACGTCACATGACGTGGTCACCCAATGTCAGTTTCCCCGTAAAAGTTAGCGGGGAAATTCACGTCATGTGACTTCAGGTCACGTGACGTAATTTTTTCTCTAGCTTTAGCGGGGAGATGGACGTCACGTGGCATCACTTACTACCCGCTAAATATAGCGGACAAATTATGTAACGCTCCTTCATGATTATATTATCATGAAAATGATTCATAAAACACTATTTTAGAACTAAAGGAAAAGGATTTCTGGCGAATTCCACCGGTCGTTTTGAAGCGTGACGTAATGGACTTTTCTGGAGCGCGCCTATTTTACGGGGAGATCGGGATCGAGAGGGACGTGTTCCACCCGTCGATTTGGATCAGCTTCCATTCCAGATCTCGATCCGAGAAAAGTGGCTCCGCCGATCTCGGCGGATTCGACCGGAAGCCAGGCAGCCTGGCCATCTCTCGGCGTGCACACGTGGCTTCCTTTCTCGCCGGGCATCTCGCCTCGAGATCCGGGACCGCGGGAAGGGGATTCCCCTGAAGGTGAATGACGGCAAGGCATCCACCGATGCCGGAGTAGTGGTCATGTTCTACTTGGGATCCGGAGGCGGAGCGGCTCCCTCCGGATCGCGTGCTCCATCTGGTCTACTGATATGGCGCGTTCCAAAACGACCTGTGGAATTCGCAGTTAGATGCGACTAAAACAAAATCGCTGTCGCTCGATGGTGTACCTCATGCATTTCCAGAGTAGATGGTTGGCGTCTCCGGTCACTTCACACACACCACGCGGTTTCCGCATTTCCCGCGCCGAAGCGAAAAACACAGCTGCCCCGATTCTTCTGTTGCGGGCTCAAGCACTTGAGGCGCATGCTGTTTCGCAAGTGCAGTTAGATAAACGATTGGTTTCAAGGCCTAGACCTACGATTGGGCAAAAAGGTTCTAGTCCTTCGAGGCTTTGAATAGAGCATGCAGATGTGCCTCGTTTAAATCGGTCAACCAACCAGTTTGTTTATGCGCAAGGAAAATTTAAAAATCTGGGCAGTGTATATCTTTTTTCCTCGACGTCTACGCACAAAGCGCCACCGTGGGTTATCGTGGGTTGATCATCAGCGCCACCCTAGCCAAATGAGGCAACACTGGGACGGCTAAAATCGGCAGCGCCGCCGGCGTACCCTCGCGAGGTCACGTTATTACCGACCCGCGGAACGTTGTGTTATAGCGCGCTACACAACCAGCTGTTTTAAGAAAAAATTATCAAACGTTAAATATATAAATGTGCATGTGTGTTTGGTTGCGTAATTCTAGCATTGGGGAGTTTTAGTAGGTGCC